TAATGAAGCTGAGATAAAACTGAAGTCAAGTCAGAAGTCATTGCCTAAATGTGGAAACAATTAGCCATGATGTTAGAAGGCTAAAGGACTGGTGATTCATAGCTATGCCAATTGCTCCTCCCTTCCATCAGAGCCAGGGCAATGAAAACTTGAACGTGAACTACAGGACTGTACTGACCTCTGTGTACTGCTGGATAACATTTTCAGGAGTGGGGCCGAGAAACATATAGAAATCAAGTACTCCTCCAATGGTCCTGAATGTTATAGAAGGAAATGGACTCAGAGTGACATCTGAAGAGAACAAAGCAAAACAGAGAATGAGCACAAATAATGTGAGTGGCAGAGATCACTATTTTTATATTTCTACCATTTAGGTGTTACTTAGGCTGGTTGTCTAATAGGCAATATTGATAGCTCTGATGGCATCTAAGTGTCTGCCAGGATTTTCTAGCTCTGTGTGTTCACAGGTTTCTTTTCTAAAGAGTTCATTAAGTCAGTTATATATTGCATTGCATTTACACTTACACTTACACACACACACACACACACACACACACACACACACACACGACAGAGAAAGAGTGTGTGTGTGTGAAGAGAGAGAGAAAGAGAGAGAGATTAAACCCCAAGTGCACAATTAAGAAAAGCTGCTGTAGTGCTAATACATTTCAGATATTTCTAGACTAACTTAATGAGAAAGGAGGCCTTGGCAGTGTTTATATTGCTGAGATGATATGGCAGATCCAGCAACACTGCATTACCGTGAAATTTCGAACATTGCTTCTTCAAGGGCTTCTGATTTCTTAAGTTGTATGTCTTTAGCACTATGTGCCTTAATAGTATTTTGCAATCTATTAGGATGACTATATTTGTTTCACTAGAAAAATTTCCATTTGAAACAAAATATTCAATTGTAGACAATCTCTCACTCTATTTTGTTCTAATTAATAAGTACTTTTTCAAGGGAGAAAAGGCAAAATTTAGCATTTAAATTGCGCATTTGCTTCTTTATAATTTACCCAGACAATCACATTACCTTGGGCATTGGAATTCAAGAGGAGAACACCATGAGCATTAAAATCATTCTCTATGCACATATAAAAAGGATGAACTCCATAGAGATTGCTAAATGCCTGCAACAGCAAAAAGAAACATTGTGTTTGTTATGGTTTATTAAATATTAAATTATTAAATTAAATATAAATTAAATATAAATTAAATATTAAAGATCCAGTAGCAGTTAATGACGTGCCGAAAAAGAAAAAAAAA